ATAACCACACGGACCGGAGGTGAGTCACTGTGAAAGGTTCTTTATGCATGTTATGATCTTCACAGCAACTCTTCTCATTGTTAGAGATGAGAAACATTTAAGTGTAGAGGATGTTGTCTTAGCTGGGACTGCCATAGCAAAATACCATAGGCTGTGGCTTTAACAGCAAACATTTATTTCTCATAGTTCTGGAGGCTGTAAGTGCAAGATCAGGATGCTAGCATGGTTGGGTTCTGGTAGGGCCCTCTTCCTGGTTTGCAAGCAGCTGCCTTCTCGCTGTATCTTCACATGGTAGAGAGATCATCTCTCATGTGTCTCTTCTTCTAAGGGCACTAATCTCGTCAAGAAGCCTTCCACCCTTGTGACCTAATTACTTCTCAAGGGCCCCATCTCCAAATACCATCACATTGGGGACTGGGGCTTCAATGTATGGATGTTGTGGGGTCACAAAACATTCAACCCATAGCAGATGTTAACTGGCCCAAGAGTATGGAGCAGACCGTGGTAGGGCTTGGACTTAAACCCCAGTTAGTCAGACCTCAGGGCCAAGGCTCATTTTCCTGAGTCCATAATAGCTTGTTCAGTAAAAAGGCAAGGCCAGGGGTGCCTGGGTGGCTCAGCTGGTTGGGCATCTGCCTTTGGCTCAGGTCATGATCCCAGCATCCTAGCACTGATCCCTGCATCAGGCTCCCTGCTCAGCGGAGAGCCTGCTTTTCCCTCTGCCTCTGCCTGCCGCTCTGCTACTTGTGCTCTCTCCCTATCTTTCTCCATCAAATAAATAATTTAAAATAGTTTAAAAAAGAAAAACAGAGGGGAAAAAAAAAAAAAAAAGGCAAGGCCTGTGACCTTCCAGACCCGTCATGCTCTAAAATTCAATATTCTAATTCTGCTGAATCCCTAAATCCTGATTAGGTCAGCTACTCTCTCTGAATTTTGTTTATATCTTTCAAATAATGCTAGCCCTCTGAGGTAATTATGTCTGCTCTGTACAAAACTAAACACATTTCAGACTCTTGACAAATATTAAAGAGCAGGCCAGACAAGTGGCATCTCTGGTTTTTCAGGGACTAAAGCACGTTCGATCTCTGAGGGTCAGTTCACTCCTACTCTGAATCTAAGCGCTCACTTAGAGCCAGAATGGCTGGAGGAATTTATTTGTGTTCACACAACAGAATTGCCAAAGCTAATTACTAACGGATATGTATGAGTGTCCAAGAAAGGGAACGTTAGCTTATGCATTCAAAAGCAATTTAGTCTTGGGGTGCCTGGGTGGCTCAGTGGGTTAAAGCCTCTCCCTTCGGCTCAGGTCATGATCCCAGGGTCCTGGGATTGAGCCCCACATCGGGCTCTCTGCTCAGCGGGGAGCCTGCTTCCTCCTCTCTCTCTGCCTGCCTCTCTGCCTACTTGTGATCTGTCAAATAAATAAATAAAATCTTTAAACAAAGAAAAGCAATTTAGTCTTTCTAGGTAAATCCTTCCCTAAAAATGACATCCATGTTGGATTATCCCAAATACTTGATCATTTACCTTGAGGAGATCTTGGTAATATCTTATTTTAGGGACGCTCAGCTATGGTTTAATCCTATATCCGCATGCTATTCACATGTGTGAAAGGAACATTTCTCATAAAGACAATCCGCTTAGAAATACGCACCCCTTTTTCCTAGAGTTCCTCTTTGGGCAGTAATTTCTGAAGTTTGGGAGGTAATACCTGCCCTACTTCTTTTTTGCCTCATCCTTGTGACTTAACTGACGTGTGTAATCATCACCCTGCCTTCCTGTTTGTTTTGTTTTGTTTTAAATTTAGAATTTTTCTTAAATAATGGCTGCAGAAACTCTCAAAATTACCTATTAATAGTAACACTTTGCAAGTAATAAAGAGCCTTTCCTCAGCTAGTTGATTTGGTTAGTTAGAGCAGCGTGCTAATAATTAGGCCATCGCCACGGGTTTGGGCTCTGGCGAAGGTGTGGCCAGGGTCTTGGGAAGGACTAGGAGAGAATGTGGATGGCAGGACAGAGAGCCATCCTCGCTAGAAGGAAAACAGTGTTGCTATTGGGTAACATCATGTTGGGCGGACAGCATACTGTAAACAAAACAAAATAAAAACAAAAACAAAGGGGGAAGGGAGGAAGAGAGGCAGGAAGGAAAGACTAGAAGGAAGGACTAGAAAGAAGGAAGGTAGAAGGAGGGAAAGATGGCAGGCAATTATTTAATTGTCGACAAGTTCATGGAGACAAATAGTAAAGGAAGAATAACAGAAGGAACCGGAATCTGATGCATGGCATGACCTTTAATCAGGGCTCTTCTTCCTAGCAGGCTGTGAAGCAGCTTTGTCTTTACCTGCTCAATGGATCCCACAATGCTGATGCACTGCTTTAATTTGGGAAGGCTTTCTCTTGAGACACATGTCTTTTCCAGCTCTAAGTACGAAGTGCTCCCAAGTGTGGCATTCTCTGTGACAGATGTACTATAGTGATGCTTTAGCTGACTCCAAACCCATAGCTTCCCCGTGCCTGAGTGGTCTAGTTGATGTCCAAGAGTGTGTTTCCTTTGAGAACAGGTCTTTACCGGAATATCATCCAAGAAGGTAGGGAGGTATAATCCCTTTGTTCTGAAACGGCCACGGTTAAACTCTGGAAGCCCACTCCCCAGGAAGGGCTATTCTTTCCAAAGATCTGAAAGTCATTTGCTGCTGTACATGGATGCCCTAAGCCTATGCCTTTGGAAGGCACTGCCTGAGAGAGACCTGAGAGCCCTCTCCTTTCAAAATCTTCTCCCAAGTTTACTCCATTTTCATTGTTGGCCCCAATTCCACAGAAGTCTGTGTAAAGATAAGGAATTTCAAAACGATTTTCACAGCTCCAAGGAAATCAGGTTCCCTGGTAGACCTCCCGTCTGGGGCTGCACTTCTTAGTGAAATCTCGGGGTCTTGTCAACAGGATCCAACATGTGACTAGCAGGACCAGCCAGCGGCAGACATGTCCATCTGTGATGACTGTACGTGTCTGTACCTCACTCATGAAGTCTGATCATTCTACTCAATTCCAATTCTCAATTTCTAATTCTCTGAATTATAATGATGATGGGAAGCCACCATCAGACTCCATTCTTGAAGGAGGCAGAAATGCAGCCACGGGCCATTTCTGTTGGGACACGTGCCGCTTATCTTCCACCAGCTGTGGCTCCTGATGTCTGCTACAGGAGGCATTACTTCTCCAACTCTCTTGCCCATCCACAGGAAGGAACTCGTCTTCATCCACCAGACAGTTTGCATCCTCTCTTGGTGCCTTGAGAAGATCAGAAAGGGTGAGAGTCTTGGCAAGAAGGCTTTTTCCATCATTCCTATGCCTATAACAATTCTGAAGTGTAAGAAAAAGCTCACTGCTGTTGAAAGTCAGCCTCTAACATTCAGGAAATTCCCCTTCTTAGACTTAACACTTGCTTTTCCACATTTTTACTTGAGAAGACAGTCTAACTATTCCCCAGCCTGGAGCCTGACAAAAGAAAAAGAATTTGAAGGTTCTTTTCTTTATCTAAAATAATAATAATAAATTGTGATTACTTACTGTCCTTTCATTGTAAATCATCTCTCAGCTTACTTTTCTTTTAGATAGCTTTTTGTCTTGAATTTGTTAATGAATGTCAGTTAATACTTGTTTAATAAAGACAAAGCATGAACAATCGAACAGTAATACTCAATACAGTCCTGTGGCATAGTAGTTGTTGATTAATTATTTGGGTCCTTTTCTTTGAGTTCTCTGAAAACTCTTCAAAATGCAGAGAGTAATATAATCCTACAATTTGTTAAGGATAGGCTTATACATCTGTAAATGCTGACATATTGAAGACAATCTGTTCCTTAAATCCCTAAGCAAGAAGCGATTAGCACAGTAAGTTGATACCTGCCTTACAGAAGAGAAGGGAGGGTGTGAAACATCTATGCCCTCCCCGTACCCCAGGCCATTAGGAATATTTAGTCCATGGGGCAGAGTGTCTATTTTTCTAGTGCAACAAGTTTCAATGATGAAATGTAGTGATTTCACATTGACACAGACATAACACAATTTCCATCTCTTTTTTTTTAAGGGATATGTGAGACCTATATTGTTGTTGTCATCCAAACCTCTTCTGATTTTATTTTTAAGTCACACTTATTCCATTCTTTTTCATGCAGAAAAGTACAAGGAAGAAAACTGCCCATCATCCCATTCTTAGAGAACCTTCTTGACATTTAAAAATAAATGAAATGTTTCTATGTCTTAAAATTTCAATCATAGAAGCAAAATGAAAAAGCCAATGCTTCTTTAGTTTTATTCATTATGAGATTTCAGATTCTCTCTACCCGGGGACAACTTCAGGTATGTCCCCTAAGAAGATACCAGATTTTAGAATAAAAGAACATATGTCAAGAGAAACCTAGAGAATGGCAAGGGTGATCACACACAATATAACGTTCCTTGTAAAAATCACTCTTGGATATTAACAGAAGGTAGCAGAAGAACTGGAAATGCTGGAAACTGATGGCCTCTTGGAATAGATAGCACAGCTTTGATAAGCATATCTGAAGTTATCATACAGACTGCAAAGAAAGATTTCACCATTTTTCAGGACTGGTGAATAACTTATGAATGAATGAGAAGGCAATGACATGTTTCTGTACATGCATGTGTAAAAAGTAGATCACAGAGATTATGGGGGTCAGCTGACCATAGCAGAGTAAACTTTTATATGATCAGTTTCCTTGAGCGATTTTATAACACTTTTATAGAAAAGATAATAGCTTTGAGTGACCTCTAAACTATTCTTCTGGTGATGAGTTTCATGATATTGATATATACTAGCCAGACTTCCCAATTATGCCATGTATGTAAGTCAAAACTGGGATACATATTTTCCCGGCATCAGGTAATAAATGACAATGTGATAGTGCCTGTCTTGACCACTCATTTAAAATAGATCGCAATCCTATTTCATCTCTCGTGACACTTTCCTTTCACAGATCATGAAAGTCACAACACCTTCGAGAACTGTGAAATCACCATGGGATTATGACTTTTTTATTTATAATGGTGTCATAGACAAGGCAGCCCCAGACTTCTTAGCATTCAAGGAACATTTTAATTTATCTTGGGGAAGTATTTTTTCTCTCTTGGAACACATCGAGAAGTTTCTCAGAGACTATGCAATACCAGAAGTTAAAATAAAAGGGAACAATTTGGTAGCCTTCCTTCCAGAGTTTGAGCTGAAGAATAAACTTACCAGATACGACTTTCTCACACTGTTAGAGAACCCACTTCATATCCAGATGATGTTAAAGCTTCCGGGGCAAAGGTACAAGGGCCAAGATGGAAGGTCAGAGGCTGCCAACAAGATCCAAGCCACATGGAAATGCTTCAGAGCAAGAAAATTATTCCTCTTGTATCGCCAGCAGAAGTGGGCATCAGGTGTGATTTCCATTGCGTGGCTCTTACATTGCCACAAGACCCGAGTGAAGAAGATCCTGAAGGAATCACGTGAGAGACACCTGGAGAATTTCCGTATTCGAGCCAAGGTACACAAGGCTGCCAGCTGTTAAGGCAGACCTCTTTTTCTAAACATTTCTTGCTTGAGTGAATGCAATAAGTTGTCTCTTTATCTTCTCTTTCTCTCTCCAGCTACCCTCCTCGTCGACCTCTCTGGTCTTCCACTCTTCTCCATGTAGGATGCATAAACCCTACATGTGTTTGTACATCATATTTTAGCCCTAATCAGGAATCTGGCTTTTGCACCTGTAAAATCTACTGCAATTTTTTCTATAGAAAAAAAGTCCCTTCACTTTGACTATGGCCGTTCTGTCGGAAAAATCAATGTTTTAACCGCACTACCTTTTCTCTCTATATATACCTTCTGGCACTTTAATTTGCTTGGAAAAAAAAAATCCTCTCTTGTCTACATTGCTGTCACCACTTTGTCAGAAAGTATTTAAGTTTGCAGACAGCCTTTTAATTAGTGCTCACAATTTCATTTATGTTTGCTTTCTCTTTTTTTCATTCATATTCTGTTAATTAAGTGAGCTGCCTCTAATCTTCCCCTGCCAGTAGCATCATGTAGCCACCTAATTAAATTAATTGGGGAAGATGTTTTAAGTATGTAATTAAATCAATTAATATAATTTATGCCTGGCTTAACTGTACAGTGGAAAAACAGCTGAAGTTTGACTAGATGAATCCACTACAGCTTCCTGTCACTGATCAATGCTCTTCTTGATTTTTAGCATCTGGCAGCCAACTGGAATCGCATCAGGACCTCCAGGAGGACTATTATCCATATCCCATCATTAGGTATAACACTTTTGCCTGCAAATCTATCAGCAACCTCTATTACCCACCACATTATGGCTCCTTGATTGAGTTCAAGGAAGGCCCCTTGTTTTATTCAAATTGGTCTCGGCAGGAAAATGTTCTCGACATGATGAGAGTAATAACACAGGGCCCTCGCTCGAAACGGCGTTTAATTTGGGGATTAAGCAAATAAAGTCATTATGTGGGGGCTGCTATTCAGTGGAGAGGTGATTTGCTGTAATTCGCTTTCATCTGTATGAAATGAACTAAAAAGTTGTATTTTTTCCCCCTGAAATAACAGATAATGTTTTCGATCTTCTTTAATGATAGAAGAACACAGGCTTGCGTGTGTTGTTGCTGTTACGCCAATAAGCCAGGATATTGCTTGTACACTGTTTTTAATCAAATGTGCAGTCAAAATGATAAGCTACATTCTCTGAAATTATTTAGTTCTAATTACGAGCAGATGGGATGCTTTATTTGCACCTAGGGCGCCTGAGCAAAAGGAAATGCTGTGTGAACAAGAATAATTAAGAAGTTGAATAGTGTTTTTTGCGCTTAAATAATCTGCAGTTTCATGTTAATTAGCACTAATGTAATTATTTAATTACATTTATGAATTGGGGAACTTAAAAGCTGTTGTCTGCAACACAGTAGTAGAATAGGTATGCCAAAATGACATTGGGGATTTTGGAAGTCTGCACCGGAAGTTCCTTTGAAACATGAGCTGCTGTCAAAATGTGTGGGGTTGTTTGCTTGCTTATTTGTTTCATTTTGTTTTGCTTTTTAATCTACCTAGTGTGCTAAAAATTTCCTTGGTGAGACCAAATTTCCCAAGCTGCCTTGGTAGTTTTGACAAACAGCAAAACTCATCAAATCTTCATATTACATACTGGATCTTTGTTAAGGCTTTTAAAGGAGAGCAACACATTAAGCGATCTATTGTAATAGAATTCTAGATCGTGTCCGTCCATGAGTATACATGTTTGTGTCCTCATGCATAGTATAGAACATAACACATTTAAACAGTAAGATGAAAAAAACCAACATTAAAATTACTATATATATAATTATCTTTTACATTAGTAAAATAGTAGTAGTAATAAAGTAATGCGAACTTTCCTAGAATTTAGAGTGCTTACAGAAAAGTTAAGAAAACATGTCAGAGCTGCGTAGAGCCTTTTAGTTTGGGTATCTTTATAGCTCACAGAAGAAATTAGTTCCTTCTTAGGATGTAAGTGAGGTAAGACAGATCTGAATCTCATTCCAACTTGGGCTTTTGTTTTGGTGGGACTAGTTTTGCACACAAAATTAGTTCACACTCAGAAATTGCACTTGTAATTGATTACAACCAGAGAGGCTAATTGCAGACACAATTAACAGACTCGAGTCCCTTGGAATAAGGTGCAGGAGCCTTTTGCTTCTGCAACTAATTGTGGCCCTGACCTGCTATTACGTGGGAAATTTTGTTTCGTGTTCTCTATTTCATTCAAAGCTAGAAATAGAACAAGACCCCCCACTTTGCAATGTTGACAGCACCAAGGTATCACAGGCACAATTTCCACAAACTCCTTCCTTCCACCTGTCACCCTTCAAAACCCCAGTACAGTCAGCCGTGCAGAACAGTCTGATAGAAAAGTGTCTTTGTCCAAAGAGGTAAAATTTTGAAAATAACAGTAATCTAAACTGGGTAATAAAAAATAATTTTAAATGAAAATGTTTTAAGATTCCAAAAAGGTTTGCTGGATATAGATTAGGTAGAAAAAATAACCTGGTCAAAAACTAGAATTGTAGGGGCATCTGGGTGGCTCAGTCATTAAGCGTCTGGCTTTGGTTCAGGTCATGATCCCAGGGTCCTAGGATTGAGCCCCACATCGGGCTCCCAGATCAGAGGGGTGCATGTTCCTCCTTCTCTCATTCCCCCTGTTTGTGTTCCCTCTCTTCCTGTGTCTGTCTCTGTCAAATAAATAAATAAATAAATAGGGGGAAAAAAACTAGAATTGCATTATTTTAGATCTGATATTAAAACTAATTTTCTTCTAGAATACATATTCTTGGTTTAAATAGACACGTAATAAATCTGAAAGTCTTCCCTATTATAGTAATTTTTGTTTGTTAACAACATAATAACCCATTTTAAAGAAAACTTGCTAATCATGTATCTTCCAAGAGATAAGACTAAGCATATATATTTTTCTCAACTGACCATTTAAAAAGCCCAATTACACATTTTCACAAGAGAACAATATGTGGGCTCTGATGAAATAGTATTTGTTTCTATAATTTATGCTTTAGGTTTTATAAAAAGACCTGTGGCTATTAAATTAAGTTTAGGTTTAAATAACATTAACCTGTCACCTCATACTTATTCCACAGACATAATTCTCAAACCATAACTTTCTCTGAAAAAATGATTATGGTATACCTTTCTTGTGTGCACCACTTTTTCTGTGAATTCTTGAAGATTTTAGGTAGACACAATGTGGCTACTTTGTCTCCTGTACTAGGGACTTACCTACACAATTCATGAAAACGAAAGTAGATAAAAGCAAAGCCCTTTTTTTTTTCTCTAAACACATGTCCCCCCCCCAAATCTATTCAACATTGTAATTTTATTTTCAGAGTTGAGAGGGATTCACTAATCAAAATCAGTCGGTAGGCATGTAAGGTTCAGGGAGGCATTTAATGCAAATTACAGCCTTGTCCTCTTTTTCTCTTTCTATAGGAGATTTGCAATCAATTCTGGTGTAGAATTAGCCCTAGAAATAATTACACCATGTGGCTAGCCAATTAGGGCTGCACTAACTTATTTGAACCCTAAAAATGAAAGATTAGTACTGATAACTGTGCACTCTGTTGCAGTTATATGCATTTGGTTCTTTGTTTATGCAGTTGTGCACACACGAGAATAATTGCTTTCTCCAAACTGACGATCACGTAAAGGGCCACAGTAACATTTTCAGTAATGCCTTTGACCACAAAATATTTATCATGTATTTTCAAGTCTATAGCTTGATAATATGAACATTAAGACAATTACCCATTGCAGAGTAACCTCTCTGAAAGGAGGAATTATACAACTTGATTGGCTGTTACGCATTTGGGGTAGTATTCCTAGATATAACAAAGTTTTAACTATTTTTAACAAACAGGAGAGGTGGGATGCTGTTAACTGTTCAAAGGAATGGATCAGCCTTGTAATTTCATAAGATGATAAAAAAAAACCTCATCCTTTCCAGAGTATATAGGATAATCTCTTAATTGGATATTAGATATTTTTATCATTTTTATTGATGAAATACAATGAAATAGAATAACATAACAAAATAATCTACTATGGTTCATAGCAGGAATAGAATACTAGGATCTATTTTAAGCAAAATCTATCCGTCAAATAAGAAAGAACTGCAACAAAGGATCCTAATTCCTCAAGAAAAATCAGAAGTCTAAATAAAACCTAGGAACTAATTCTGCTTCCAGTTTCTTTGGCCAAGTTATTTCCTCCACTTTTAATTTAACCCCTGTGCTTCTTTATTACAGTGTGTCATTTGGTGCTACACTTAAACTCAGTGGCATTTTAAAATATATTGACATTAAATGAGATGGGCCAAGTCTCGGACTCTGAGGCCGTGAGCAGGTACATGAAGCACTGCCAGCCAATTAAACCCCCAGCGATGAGTTTCCTCTCTCACTTCTCATCCTCTTTTAAAATAAAAATAAGGAATTATTGAGGTGGGATCTTCTCTTTTCTCCATGTAATATTTTATCTTATTGCCAATTGATTTCAGGGCTAAAAAGAATCTATATAGTTCAGCTTCATTTTTTCCCCCTCTGTGCATTACTTCAGCAAATTATCCTTGGAGCAAACACCATTAATGGGTTCCAAGATACTCCCTTCCGTAAAGCTATGGATTCTGCTGTTGTGAGTATTATGAAAAAACAACACTTTTCTGCTGCTCTGGACTGCCATGGAGGCCTTAAAGAAAGGAAAACTTCCTTTTGTGTACAACTGACCCTATCCCAAATATTCATGAGACAGCAGCTCCTTAACCCCCCTCCCTTCTTTGGAAAGATAAGAACCAGATGTCACCTCCCTTTGTGAACAGGGGCAGGGTAGAGGACCACAGCCAAGAATGTTATCTCTGAAATCACATTCTTACTGTGCTTCCAAGCAGACTGACATCTTTCTACTTCCTCATTTTTGAGTTGTCAACTCAAAGACACAATAGACTTTGTTCTCAGAGCTAAGACATTGGGACTCTCAGAGCTAAGACATTGGGACTTCCAGTCAATTCTTCATGGTCTTCAGCACGTATTTTGGCAAGCAGCTATGGAATCCACAGTTCAGCTATGGCATTGCTACACTAGATCCTTGAGAGTGATGGACGGACAATATCTCCCAGATATAAATCTCCAAAAATATACCCATCCTTTGAGATCAGAAACAAAGTGCACTTAAACTTTCCAATTCCTGTACAGCCTGAATTAAAATGAAAACACACTGTATTCATCGATGTTATATTCATCCAAGTAATTTAAGTCAACACTCCTTCATCGGTTAGACCAGAGTTGGCCCCATGACCCTGTATTAAATTACACAGTTGGCCTTGAGCTATCTAATGTTGCCCCATGAAGTACAGAAGCAGCATTGAACACCAGCTCATGAGCTCTTCATGAAATGGATTAGTATTAGGATATAGTATAAAAAGAGTTTTGTATATGCTAAGATAAAACTACACTTTGTCATCACCTTCATTGTCATAAAAAATATTAAAATGTTTCTTCAGCAGTTCTCAGACTTACAAATATAACAACTACAGAGAACCCTAATAAGCATTATTTCCATAGGTTATATCTATCAATATATACTATATTAGAAACTAAAACTGAGAAACTTTAAAAAATATTTAATTTACTTAAAAACAACAACAATGGGGCACCTGGGTGGCTCAGTTGGTTAAGTGTCAGCCTTAAGCTCAGGTCATGATCCCAGGGTCCTG